AAAAAAAGAACAATAGAATAATTTTTCAAAGTGAATTAAATATAAGCCTCGGAAATTCGATCAGAGATCTGGGCCGCATAGATAATTTTGTACATATTACACAATGTTAACGAATATATTCTATGCTAGACCAGGAGAGAAGATCATTTTTTAAGCTTCGACATAAATTGCTAAAAAATGAAGCAAAACAGGTCACCAAAGAAAAGGCGCCTTTTCTCTGAGTGTGCGGGAGCCAAAGCGATGCCACTCAGCAGGTGTTATCCATAGTTCTGATGTGGAATCGGCAGTTAGCAAAAGACGCGCCCCAAACCAGGCCATATTAGCCGCCTCCTCAGAAGGACGAAGAAGAACTTCAATCGGAAATTCAGCAGAATTTTGAGCATGTCGAATAGAAGAGAGACTAGGAACAGTGTGTCCGCTGGGTGGAGCCTGGGAAGTAATCTCGCGAACGTCTCCAGTTGTTTTATTTAATGTGACTGAAGAGTGGGGAGTAGATTCGTCAGCATCAGAATCAGATCTGCTTAGGTTAGAAGATCCAGGAAGCATGGAGGTAAGCTGAGCCAAAAGCATACGCTGCAAACAGTAACCACCAAAGCCTGCTGCTCCACCACCAATGAGAAGAATACAACTTAGTAATCGTCGACGTCGCTCTTCTCCTGAAACCCGAGTTAAAAACCGAAAAAATCTGTGGCAATGAAGCACAAATAAGTAGAAAGCTGAAAATTGCAATATATTTAAATAAAATATAAATAAGGATGGGCATACTGAAGGAATGGTATTGCAATACCGAAATTATCCAATAATCTCAATCAAGAGATAGTGATGCCTTGGATAAAGAAAATGAATTCGCTTATGGAGAATTGGGGAAATAATATCATGTAAGCTAAATTCTTTCAATTGAAAATACTTGACTAACGTATGAAAGTGCATGAAGAGATTAGAAGTCAGATCTAAAACGGCTGATTCGCGTTCAACTGCAACCGTTTTTGCTTTAATATGGCGTTCAAGTGCAACGGCGTTCAGGGTGACAGTCCTCGTTAATGATGGTAACGGGTTAACCTTTCGGAATAGATAGATATAGATTAGTTTGACCAATTATCTTTAATATTGAGTAGTGTGCGTTTGTGTAATAACGTCTTAAATCAGTGTGATCAAAAAAGCCGTGTCTGAATCTGGTCATTAGGCCTCAATGATACAAGAAAAAGCCCCAATCGATACAGTGTAAGTCCACAGGCGTGTCTGGTTGCGATACTGACAACTGTAAGCTTGTAAACGTATAAGTCAGACTACGAAACTACCTATCCTAACCTCTCAGTCTAGGGTCATTGCTGTTTGGCATACCAAGAAAAGGAGTGACTTGGCTGCTCAATCTCGTACGTCTG